AAAAATAAAGATGACTTGTTAATTAATAAATAAAAATAATAAATTATTGAGTTTTTATCTTATCCATTATTTTCTACCTATAAGATGAAGAGTACTAGAGGAAGATTACAAAGAAAAAAACAGGGAAGTAAAAAACGAGCTAGACTAGGCAAAAGGCTGCACATGGAGCAAAAAATAACACACAGATGCTACACGCAATAACAAAAAGACTAAAGGAAGCTACAAAAATAAAAGGGAAAGAATAGGTAACTTTTTGTAGACATTTTGGAAGAGGTAACAGAAAAAAATGGAGAACTTTTTATTAATTCTAAAGACTTTGAAACAGTGTTTGATTTGATTAACTGAAACATGATCTGGAATATACTGAAACACTACAGAATATCAGACAAATATATTAGGACAATAAGACTCCTTTACAACCAATGTACTGAAAGAGCTATGCTTTTCATAGTAGATTGGATGATTTAACACTCAAGATGGGACTCAAGCAATGATTGGTGAGGCTAGCAACCTTACCATCAAATCTTTTGTTTATACTATTTTGCTACTGAAACACTGATGTGCCTTTTGCTCCACTACGAAGATGTATGATATATTATTTCCTAAATACATACCATAAATAAAACACTTGGTTGTTTTTATATCATTATTATTCCAAAATGGTACATTTTTTTATGCTTGATTAACATAAAGAACAAGCTATTTGTTTACTGATCAAATAATAAGTAATCTATTTTTAACCTAAACTAACTAACTTTTTATAATCTAAAGTCTTACTTAGCAGTTTGTCTTTAGTTACTATTATGACATTTAATATATTTACATAATGTAAATGTCCTAATAGTAACTAAATTATACAATATTATATTTAATATTTACATTTTACTACTGATCACTTCTATACAATAGGAGAACTTAACTTTAATATGAACATTGGTAAAACAAATATTAATACATTTAAGACTAGTTACATTAATTACAACAAATTAAGAGAACTATTAAGAAACTAAAATTGTAAAACTTTAAAATAAAATAAAAGAATGTGCTTATGAAAAAACAAAAACAATATGAAGGAATGAAGTTAAATGGAAAAAATGGATAACATCTGGCATTCAGTCTGTTCATTCTGTAAAGTATTTGGGAATTACAATTGATAGTCATTGACAATAGAACCTACATATTGCAAATGTGACAAAAAACCTTCAAAGTTTACTCTACAAATTTAAATACTTAAAAATATTTTAGTACAGCCCATTTTAAGAACACTTGGTTGGGGTGGGGCGTATGTCAATCATTTGGAACAACTAAATGTCGTCTAAAGAAAAATTTTAAAATCAATTTAAACGCAAATCCATGCTTTACTCCACTGAGTTACTATACAAGGATGCTAATTGTTTGATATCTGGCAGTTTTATTTTAAAGCTGTTACTATATACCAATATAAAAATAAACATACGATGACCTCAATATAACAATTAAGGTCATCCTGAAGGGGAAGAGATATTCTGTTCAATCTAGAACTCGCTGGTTTCCCCCTTTCAAAATGGGTATGTATATTCAAATAAAAGAGAAATGAAAGGCAGCGGACTGTATAAAACTCTAAAGCTTTAAAATTATACATAACCAAATATACCATTATAATTAAAGAAGAATATATTACAAACTTAACTATTAGCTACTAAGAAACACCAACAGACACACCAAAAGACAACCATAAACCAATCAAAACAAAAATGTCGATTCTATAAAAAACCACTGACAAAACAAAAGACAAAACCTACCATAACCGCAAACATACTATACATAAAAAAATAAAAGATAAATTAATAATCTTACAAAAAAATCAACCTAAATAAGGATATAATATTTTAACGTTGAAAAACAAATTAAGAATGCGGTGCATACAAATAATTAATAAGTACAATTATTAAAACAAAACATACAAGAAATAAAATCGGTGTTAACAAAATACGCAAAAAAATATACAATACAGTAAATAAACCGAAACAAATGTAAAATGTCCAATTAACAATATTCAATCTCAATTGCGGCACAAATACGATGAAGTTCCAAATATCAAATTAATATGCCAAGTGCTACTTAATATATGCAGCAACAAATTAATATGGTGTATTGTTTCTTATCCCATGAAAAAGATAGCCCCAACGCTATCGCAAATTATGTCTTCAGTGACACTTCAACTACCAAAAGTTGTGATGCATATTAGCATCTTTCTTGGCCGATGCAGAATCAGGTACCCTTCACATACAGATGTTCATCGTTTGAGAGATACTTTTCGACTCTTGTTTTCTATGGAACACAAACCCTTATTTTAGGTACACACACATGTGCTGATATTTCACAGATGGCCCGCCTTGCAATCTTTAGCCCTTAAAACGGCTGTGTCACTTACACAAAAATCTGGTTTAAAATATATGAGGAGAATAGAAACTAACAAAAAGACTGTTCATATTTAATAAATGTTTATGTATCGTTGCGAAACTGCAACACCAAGTCTAGGTGTGGCACCAATTAATGCCAAAATAAGAGCGCATATGTGAAGATGGTTTGGTTATGTTCAATGTGGAGATGTTAATAAACCAATATGAAGAATTGCTGAAGTGCAGATTCCTGGAAGGAGTAGGAAAGGAAGACCTAGGGGCGGACAATTAGGTGCCATGTTGGTAAAGGGGATTATTATTGATATGACCCAAGATAGAATTATGTGAAGAGATGCAAATTAGGAAGCCGACCCTACATAGAGATAATGAAAAGAGAATGATGGTTACAGGGTGCAATGTGGATTTAAAATTTAGATGTTCCTAAGATTGGTTTTGACATATTTACAATTGCACAAATAACTACTATACATTCATCTAAATAAGAAATCATTGTCCAGTCAATTTTATTTTGTAGAATTCTAAATAATTTGATGCGTTGAATAGCCCTTTCAACATGCACCCTTGCTCTGGCAATTGAAGCTGTTTCTGTGGCTTCTTTTTGGCAGAACTGTTTTTGTTTCCGAAGAAATGGAGGTCTTACCAATTTAATTGAGTTTGTAAGGCATTCTTCTTCAATTAACACACCTTTATCAACCATAATAGAATCTATAAATGGTTCTGCTAATTTTATAATATTTTCATTATTAAATATTGCTTTATCGGAAACTCGTCCCCCATATGCAGCGCTTACATAACAAATTATACCCGCAGGTGCAATACAAACAACGAATTTTACTGTATGTGTCTTTTTATAATGTGAATATGTTCTGACCCTACATTTTAAACAGTTTAATTTTTCAATATAAGGTTGAATGTTCGAATAATTAAACTTTGAGGGTATACAAGGCAACTATCGAACACGGTGATTAATTTAATCTTGCCCAAGTACTTTCAATCAATAGATCATCTTCAGGGGCATCTGAAATAAGCCAAGAAACGTTTTTTATAAACAGGAAAATTAATTCACTTGGATAAAAAACTCCAAGTTTATGGTTGAAAAGAATTTTTATATGTGATAAACGTTTATAGACTTACTTCGTCAATTGTGGACTATCCGACATAGTAGAATGTCATAAATTTAAAACTGGACATAACAATACAAAATACACTACACTAAGACAAACAAACACTTTAAAATTTATATGGCGAAGCTACATATTGTGAAGAAGCCGGAGACAGAATGGGCTCCCGGTCTGACGGAAATGTAGAGATGACATGTGACAAATGACAGCTTATGAAGGGCAGTTATGTGATCTGCACCTTTCAAAATTCTATGACACTAAGTGTTGACCAAAGGTCCAACTGACACCACTATAGGAAATCGACTGATGAAATATAAAATTATATAGTATATTTTTTATGTGGATTGAATAATTCCAATCTCACACTCAAACCTGTCTATAATAATTAGGATGTTGGTTTGAGAGCAATTGAAGTTGACATAAAGTATGAATGTGAGAAAAGACTAACAATATATTAGACAGTGGATGGTTGACTACAATAAAATGGTCCACCAAGCGCTATCAGTACTGTAAAAAAGAAAAATCTGAATATGCAGTTAAATTACTAAAAGTTAAAATCAAAATTGAAGACAAAATATATAAATGTGTTATAGTCCACGTAGTTCAGTTGAATCCACAGTCAATGGAAGAACTTTAAAATTAATATTGAAATATTCAGTGCATGAAGTCTAAACAGTCGAGCTGGGTCCTCTACGAGGTGAAGCTGTAATAAAGTTTTTAAATATAGGATTAAATTTAGTACAATTTAAATTAATTTGAGTATTAAGACAGTGAGAGTTTTCATTTGTTTCCCTTGTAATCTCCAAATCTTCCAATAAATCCAACTCAAGATAGTTTTTCTTTCTGCTAATGTCATGTAAGATAGATGAACCAGAATTGATGTTAAAATTGTGGTTGCTGGCTACTAAGTGTTGACCAAAACTTGAAGAATTTGGTCTTTTCAAATGTTCAGAGACTCTACTGGATAACTTTCTGATGGTTCTACCTACATAGTTTTTTATCCAAGTGAATTAATTTTCCTGTTTATAAAAAACGTTTCTTGGCTTATTTCAGATGCCCCTGAAGATGATCTATTGATTGAAAGTACTTGGGCAAGATTAAATTAATCACCGTGTTCGATAGTTGCCTTGTATACCCTCAAAGTTTAATTTTTGTACTGCGACCTCTGTTGCATCTAGAACAAATCTTACAGACTTGTAAGAGTTAAAGCATCTTGGCATATTTTCTTTATTTTCCTCAATGGTTGAAAAATAAATTGCAGGTTTCAGTGCAAATGACACCAATTGAATTGTTTCATAAAAATAATTTGAGGCTGTCACACGTGACACCCCAAAAAATAGACCCAAACTTAAAAAAGGGTTGTTTAATTTTAATTTCATTAAAGTTAATGAAACTTTTGTTCTTAAATTTGGACATTTTATATCTGGAAAAGATGGTAAAATTATTTCTATGCTCTTTATTATTGCTTCGAATATATTTACTGTAACACCCATGCAAGTAAGAATTTTTTTTCACTTGTAAATAAATGATCTAAAATAGTAAAGTTTGGGAATAATTGGAAGATATCAGCTTGTGTTTCTTTGTCACATTTCTCTACTTCCATATTAACACCTAGTTCTTCCATATTACTTTCGTCCTTTGATGTACCTACAGAATTAGATGAACATGCAGCAGATAACTCAATCACTTGAATTGCATCATCTGCATTGGCCTCATGTACATTTTCTCTCTGAAGTTGTGTCCTTAAAAAAGATTATTTTATTTATGGGCAAATATGTGTACTCAAAACAAATACCTTAATAATTCCCGTGTTTTATTACGCATTAGCCTAGCATTCACCAGTTCCTCATTGATTTTTCTTTCGTGTGTTCCTTTAGGAAGGCATTGAGAGGGAACAACACCTTTCTTTAGAAGTTTCTTTTTCCCTGCTGCAGCTGTAATAGAAATTTTAATTAAAATCTATGTTAGTGTATAAATTTTATTTAGGTTAGGTAGGCACATTATATATAATAAATGTTGCAGTTATGCTCAGCAAACTTACTTGAATAAAAATCTGTTGATAAAAAATGTTGTGAACACACCATCATACCACTTGATATTGATTTCCCAATTTTTAATTCTTCTGCCCAACGATCTTGTAGATTTTTGTCACGAGGAAAAAAGTGCATACTTATTCCTTCCGATCGATAATTACTGCATTGTGCTGCAGAACAATACTGTTTACATTTACTTTTTAACATTTTGTTACCTTATTTTGCTTTATTTAATATGTTTATAACTATTTTATGTGTGTATAAACAAATACAAAATGTTTTGTTATCCTACGTGCACTAGTTCAAATTTTTACCGCACCGTGCCGACTCTTTCGTTTGACATCGCCAATAAATCTGGTAACTCGATTCTTTCGTTGACGTCATACGCAGCCTGATTTGATTCATTCTGAATTTGCGTCTGGAGCAGTTCATCCATGGCCTCAACGGTTATATTAGTTGTGGATAAATACTGTTGAAAATGTAATATTTGCAATGCAGCAGCAGTTAGCGGGTGTAAGCGCTTGCACCGATTGAAATGCTTTCTGTCTAAAAAGCTATTCATGGAGCCACCAGCTAATACTTCTGCTTGTACTAGTATTTCCACTAGTCCACTGCAGTCTATATATTTTCCAATCGCTTTGAAAAATGCCATCTCTGTGTGGAACGTTCCCAAATTAACAAAAATATTATTGTATTGTGGCTTTTCTTGTTCTTGGATCTGCATTGCCATTTTTGCTATCGCTAAATCATATGTCACAATAATTTCTGCCTGTTGACACTTTTCAGCAATTTCTTTAGCCATATTTAATGTTTCGTTGACTATTGCATAAGATGTTGGAGAAGAATTTATTGGAGGCAAATACTCAATCTTTTGCTTTTCACTGTGATCAATTGACATCATGCAGTTATAACCCAACCACATTGGAACAGAATCTATTCTTGATAACGACATTATCCATAATAAATCCTTATCTGTTGTTATTTCTGTAGCACCTTTGCATAAGTCCACTGTATTGGTAAACAAATCTGCTGTAACCAGCTGCATACTTGTCTTCGGTTTAGAATAATATGGTCGAATTTCCCGTGATATTTCATTGAAACGCCTTCGCTTACGGGAAGGCCCTTCTCCATTTTCGTTGTCATTTACCGTTGGCGCTGATGAAGTTGTAGCTTCACCATCATCTAAATTATCAGTTTCATCACTAAGGAATTGATAAATTGATAAAAAGAAGTTGTGTCCACGAAGCGGTCAAAATTGTCGAATGCTACGTGAGTGCTATGTCCATTTGCTGCAGTGATGCCTTTTGGTATAATTTTGTTATCATGGATCGACGTATAAGTCATTTCGGTTTCCAATTCTTCAGCCAAATTATATCCAATCGTATGGCCGTACCTATTGAGTATCGTGATTACTTGCCGAGAGTTGGTTAAAGACTTTACTGCCAATCCAAGGGTTAAACTTTTCGCTGGCTTACATGTACCCCTAGTGACAGTATAAATAATATCACTACATATTGATGTAATTTTAACTTTCAGTTTTTCCGAATTGTCATTAGAAACATTAGGCCCTTGGATAAGATTTTGCATAAAATCAACTAATTGTTCAGGAATATCACATTCTCCTCGAATGATGTCATCAGCAGTTACGTTGCGAGGAAGCCGACGAACATCCATATTTTTAATGCAGCTTCTCAAATAATAACCAACATCTTCAAATTTGTAATCATTTTTTGCCTCCAAAAACTTTACACTATTTGCCATAACAGAAATTTCGATGTCTGTTTTGTATACAATTTTTTTGTTACGTAATCCACTCGACGCTTCAATCGTTATACGGTCACCAAATTTATTCAATAATTTTTTTTGCAAGGTTTCAGTTCGATAATCTTGTATATCATCGAAATCAATTTCTTGATTTCCGAACTCTAACAGTAAAGCTCGGTATCTTAAAAATAATTGAGCCAAGTACATAACCTTGTTGTTGTCTATTATTTCAATTTCAATGAAATTCGATAACGAATCAAAGGCTAACTGATGTAACTGCCTATATTTACTGTAGCTGGAATCGGTAGATTCTTCGATGGACCGCTTCTCTCTTGACTGATACGCTGCGTAACAAGGCTGATGGTATGCAACAGTTTGATGTTGAAGTTTGGAAAGAATCACCGAATCACCAAAATTTTTGGCCATATTTGTTATCTGCAGTGGTACTTTGTCACTCTGAGGGAAAAGAAGATTAACCAGCTTCTTCCGACATCTTTTTTGGCTATGGTCACAAAAGAGACAAATGGTTTTGTTGGATGTCGATGCTTTTGATGTTGACTGCTCCTAAAAGAATTAAAAATATTTTTTAACTAAAAATGGACGGAAAAAAATATAATGGAGAATAAAGATTCGATTGATATAGATTTTTATTAAAGTGGCTTAAAAAAAAATCTTAAACATTTTGTTACCTTGTCAAAATCCCCAGAAGTTTGAGGCTTGTCATCAACATTACTCTTTCCATCCACAGTCACTGTAGCACAGGAATCAACACTAGGACTCAAACGTTTTGATTCTTGATCAGTAGTAGATGCATTGATAAGCTCCTAACAAAGCCAAATTTTACGATTAAATTAAAATGTTCAATATATATAAATTTTATAAATTTCTTGATTTGAATAGTTGAATAAAAACATTCTTATTTAATGTTACAAAAAGTACAGAAATCAGATAATTTTCTTGTTTATATTATAAACAACAATTTTTTAAGTTAATTTTCAATCGCATTGCTCGTAATTGGTACATTACTTTACCGAATTTAGTTTGTCTATGGATCCCATTACCCACTGTAGCGTACCCGTGACTTTTGTTTACATTACCGCACGCTTCGGTAACAAAAAGTCACGCTTCACATATTAATTAGATGAAAACCAAAGAGATTCTGTGCCAAAAAAAGTTTCGTAGATACAATCTCTTTGGCTATCTTGTTTCAAAAATTTTCAAGTTTTTTAACTGTTCGATTTTAGTTTGATGTTTACAAATAACACTAGAATATATTATTATAAAAAACTATTTTTTAATTTTTAACTAAAACTAATTACCTATTTAATTAAATTAAAATATCGAAACGTTAAAAATAATATTTTTTGACGTGGCTGTATAGCGATTAATACTAATGCGCATAGTCTGTCAACAGCAACGAAAAAAAAAAGAACTCGCGCCATTTTCAATTATTTTTCTTCCTTTGTTATTGTCAAAGTTTTCTTCGCATTTTCTTTGTTATTTTACCGAGTGAGCAAGTATTAAATCTGGTTTTAATTACTCACAATGAGATTGAAAATAGTCGTAAAACACTCGTGGGTAATGTTAAAAATACGCACGAGACTGAAAATTAAGCACTCACCTACGGCTCGTGCCCAATATCAGTCTCGTGCATAATTTTCAACATTACCCACTTGTATTTTAATGTACTATAAAAAAATTGTGTCTCAAAAATTTACAAAATCATAGGTGAATTTGAGTAACAATTATTTCATCATGAAAAAAATAGAGAAGTATTGAAAATAATTTTAAATATTCAATTATTATGTACTTACAGTATTCTCAGCACTAAAATTTTCAAATTCTTCATTATATTTTTTATTCAAGGCAGTAACTTTTTTATAACATGTGGTATGGTAACCTATAAAATCGAGTGACGCACTAGTTAGCTCAACAACGTTGTATTTAAAGTTTTTAATTTTACGAAAAGCTAACTTTAATGAACAGTTTTTAAAAGTTTCATCATTAAAATCAATAACACCATCATCCGAATCACACAAAAAACACTTTTTAGCCATTTTTTACAATAACAAATAGTAGCACGTGTTTTCAATTACAAATTTAGCGACAATCTACTCCAAAATGACGCGTAGCATTTACTATTACTAGTCTATCGCTATCCTTTTCGTTACCAACCAACAAACTATAGACAGCTGCAATGCTGTGTCCTCTTCTATCGCCTGGGATGGTTTGCTGGGACCTTGCTGTCGCACGTATTCACTCGCAGCAATATTTCACTTTTTGAAATTCAACAACCGCAATTTAGGACTGATTTTTTGCAGACAACCCTATACCACCGTGTTCGTAATAAAATTATCTTTATTTTTATTTTAGTTTCATTCATTAATCAGACCGGTGCAAGTTACTAGTATCGATTTACCTGTTTATACCTGCCTACCCAAGGGTTGTGACGGAAAATAAATAGTCAACCTAATATTTGTATATTCTATAGGTTTCATATTTTCGATTGGAATGAAATTTGTTCATTAACCAAACCGGTGTAATTTAAAATTTTTTTTTTTTAATTGTTAATTAATCATATTCTGGATTGAAATTTTTTAGACAACCCATTCGTAATATATTTATTGACTTATTTTATTTGATAAAGAATATCTTTCATCCATTAACCAGCTCGGTGAAGGTCGTTTTATTGCGGGATCCTATACTAGTTGTTGTTTTGATTGTTGTGTTGGTTGCCGTTGTGACTACGGCCGTTGAAGTTGTTTCTGTTGTTGTTGCCTCGGTTACGCCATTCCTGCAGTGTCTCGGACTGGCGAGGACGGTCGTTCCGTTGTGTAGGCTGGTTTGGATTCTGCTGGGGTTGAGGGCGACTTCCAGCTGAATTTGACGTCTTCTCGTGCTGCTTCGGAGCACTGGTGGGTGTGGATGCTTTGATGTCCATTTCTAACTCATCTACGGTGCGACGAAGGTCCTCTTCAGTCCGTGGTGGATTGACCCTCAGGAATTTCCGTAGTTCTGGGCGTAACTACGCTGTAAAAAAAGTTATTGCAATAAAACAAAATATTATTTATGGAAATTTGCTAAGTCGATAATGAGAATAAAAATAGTTAAAAATAAAATATAAGTTATTTCCTGTAATAAAGTAAATAATAATTCAATTGTTCATAAATCGACAAAGTAAATAAGGCAATAATTAAATACAGTGTAGATTAAAATATTCAAATATTACGAGTTAAAATCCTGAAAGAGAACAAGTAATATTTAAAGTTAAAGGTTCAATGTCCTGAAAGATAGAAAAATCGATAATGTTGAAATATTACGAAAATAACAAGTTTATAGTCAAGGTCAAGTCCTGTAAGAGAAAATCAATAATGTTAAAATATTACGATTTCTTCAAAGTACCTATAAGACATATAAAACAATAATAAAAGTACAAGATAAAATTACCTGGAAATATATTGCAATGTAAATTCACATGTCAATTTTACATAAGAAAAATCAAAGTTTCTTACCCATTTATTGTTGTGCAGCTAAAAGAGAACAAATGTGATCGGTTTTAGGTATATCTTCCGGCTCTGGGTGCAGATGCCGGGAGGAAAGGATTTTAGGTGAAATAAAACACAAGTAGGTATTTATTGTGCAGTCTCCCTTGAGGATATCTGCTAAATTTGCGTCTAAGCCCTTTGATTAAGGGACTTAGCGAATTAACCTGTAAGAGAAATTTCTTACACGAGAAATTCCGCAATTATCAGAAATTTGGACAAGTCCGAATAGCACAGATAATCTCGGCTGCACTTCGCGACGTCTCTAAGGAAATTATCAGCAATTCCAAAAATTACCAGCAACTAAGTCGAAAAAGCACAAATAATCCCTCTGAAAATGGCCGCAGGTTTTCGCACGAAAACCGACAAAGTTCACTGGTGAACTTCGCCAAAGGTTGCGTTGGAGATATAGTAAAACTCAGAAGCGTAACGGTTTTTAACCGTCACTTTGCCTACATCGCACGACGACCAATGCCCAATTTTCTGTATTATCATTGGTTGCAACTCTGGTGCATTTTGGCCAATGATAATAGCGAAAATGAGCAACAGCGTCCAGAATTATGATTGGCTGCACCTAGCTTGCAGTATTGACCAATCACAATTCAGGAGGCTGGGCGACATCCCCCCGCTCCCGAAGATCTGCAGGTGATTGAAGTTCCCTTATAACCATTTATTGAAAAAAAACAAGATTTTCACAATAAAAGTACAATACATAATGTTTACAACATAAAAACAATACATTGTTCTTGTACAACAAAAGGAAAATGTTCCTGAACATATTAACTTGGTAATAAAATAAAATATTCCTACTTGAATAATAATTGCAAATTTGCAAGGTAAAAGGAAAATATTCTCAACAATATTATTTTGAGATAATATTAAAATTGTCTTTTTAAAAAACTACTCATATTTGAATAGAAAATCTTAAAGGAAAAGATTCCAAAATTGTCTTTGAAAAAACTACTCATACTTGAATAGAAATGTTAAAGGAAAACGTTCCTAAGTTTATTTAAAAACTACTCATATTTGAATAGAAAATGTTCAAGGAAAATATCCCTTAAAAAATATAATAATAAATTGTTTATATTATATTAAAATGTCTTTTATTAAAAGAAATGTCTTTGAATAAAATAATTGTCTTTACACACCACGTCACTGGGCGGCTTCTCCGACGGCGGCGTCCCCTCTAGGAGGTGGTGCTGGGCGTAGATCATCTACGTGGATTCGACGGTCGACGTCGTTGTCTCGGTGTACCTCATATGTGTGGTTGCCGGCTGCACGTAGGATCGAGTGTGGACCTGTCCAGGTATCGCCGAAGTTTCCACGCTGGTGATTCCTCACTAGGACCTGTTGTCCGGGAACGTAGACAGGTGGTGTTCTGGCGTCTGGGTTGTCAGGGAACAAGTTCCTGGCGTAGACTGTGGCCTTCTGAACTGCTCTCTGCACCCGTTGTTCTTTGTTCTCTCTGACGTTGGCCTGGAAATGGGTCTCCTGGTCACGTCTGGGCCTGTACCCGAGGAGGAGCTCGGCTGGAGTCTGTCCGGTGGCATCGTTGGCTCTGGTTCTGAGTGTGAAGACGATGTCACTGACATAGGAGTCCCATCTGGGGTCCTCTGGGGATGAGACTCTGGCTCTAAGTCCTTTCTTTAGCTCCTGGACGCGTCGCTCAATGGGTTTGGCCCTCTGTTGGTATATAGGGGCCCTCTCGTGGGTGATGGTGTGGCGACGAAGGAACCTCTCCCAAGTGTTGGTTCTGAATTGAGGTCCATTGTCGGTAATGACCTGGTTCGGTCGTCCCCATCTATTGCAGACCTCGTCCTCAAGGAATGCTACGATGTCTCTCGACTTGGCTGACGTAGTGCATCTGAACTCCACCCAGTTGCTGAGGCAATCCACGGCGAAGAGGATGAATCGGTTCTTCGTCCCTCTGGCAGGAGGGTAAGGACCTAGCACATCGAAGGAGATCCTCTCCCATGGATTAGTTGGTTCCCTCGGCACGATTGGAGCTCTCGGCTGTCGTTTGGATGCCTTCGTCGTGGCACACTTCAGACAAGTGCGGACATGGTTGGTTATGTCCTTTGACATCATCGGCCAGAAATAGAGTTCTCGGATGGCTCGGTAGGTTTCTTCTTGTCCGGGGTGGTTTGCTTCCTCACTGTCATGGTAAACTTGCAGAACCACAGCTTGGAAGCAACCAGGGACAATCAGGCGTCTGGAACCATCCTGGAGGTGGTAGGCTGTGGCATCCTCCACCAAGAACTCGTCTAGGAGGCTTTGTTCGGTCTCGTTTTGTGGCCCTCGGGTTTGGATTCGTCTCCAGCGGTTGATGAATCTCTGCACACCATGGTCGGTTTGATGTGCCCTCTGGATTCTTAACTGGAGTGGCATTTCTGTTAAGTCGTCCAGGATCGGATGGTTGGCATCGTCGTCCTGGTCGTCTAGGAGGCACAGCAACAGGGATGTATCTTTCTCCGTCATGGCATGCTGTGGCCAGGCTAGACGATCGACTTCGGCATCCGGGTCGTGGAGCGTCTCCTCCTCGGTGGTCGGATGGCGGGATAGGTGGTCATGCAGCTGGTTGTCTTTGCCAGCGACGTGGATCACCTTGAAGTTGTACTCTTGGAGCAGTAGAGCCCATCGTGATAGCTTGGCCTTGTCGCTCTTGTATCGATCCAGCCACAGCAGAGCTCTACTGTCGGTATATAGTGTGAAGGTCTGGTCCTGAAGGAAGTGTTTGAATCGTTTCAGGGCCCAAATGACAGCAAGGCAGTCTTTTTCATTGATGTGGTACCTCTTCTCAGCTGGCTTCAGCTTGGTGGAACCATATGCAATTATCCTCCGGTTGGTAGGTTCACCCTGGAACAGGACAGCGCCCATGCCTATCTCAGACGCATCTGTCTGAAGGCTGAAAGGTAGGCTGGCATCTGGCCGTTGCAGTTCCAGTTTATTGGCAATGGCGTTCTTGATGGAGTTGAACGCCCTGTCAGCTACCTCGTTCCATTGGAAACGGTGTTTTCCCGCTGTTAAATCAGTCAGCGGGGTCACCATCTCCGCAAAGTTGGGAACGAAGTCTCGTAGCCAGCTGGCAGTGCCAATGAAAGATCTCAGTTGTTTTAAGGTCTTTGGTGTGGTGAACCCTTGGATGCGGTCCTTGTGTCTCTCCATCGGTTGGGTGTTGACGGAGGTGATTGTGTGGCCCAGATAGTCCAGTTCGGTGGCGTAGAACTGGCACTTCTTCAAAATCACCCACATGCCGTGAGTGCGTAGTCTTTCGAGAACCAGGTGGAGGTGCTTTTGGTGTTCCTCCATGGTGGACGAGTAGATGATAATATCGTCCATATATACCTTCACAAATTCGTCCACATAGCCGGCGAAGACGGTGGCCACCAGCTTTTGGAATGCTGCAGGTCCGTTATTTCTCTGGACTCCTCGGCCAGCGGAATCTGTCAGAATCCGCTCTTCAGGTCGAGGGTGGTGAAAACTGTAGCTAACCCTAGCTCCTTGATGCTGTCGTGGATGGGTGGCAAATTCGATACCTCGTCTACGGTGATTGAATTGATTTTGCGATAGTCGACACAAAATCGTGGTGTTCCATCCTTCTTGGAAACTATAACTACTGGACTGTTATAGGGGGACCTGCTTGGACGAATGACGCCCGCTGAGAGCATGTCCTGGACTTCCTGGTACATGATTTGTTTCTTAGGCGTCGAGTACTTATATGGTCTAGTGTTGATGGGCTTGGAGTCCGTCAGTTTGATGACCATCTTGGTAGCTCTAGTGGTAGGTTGGCGGACTCTGTCATCGAACACATCTTGGTAGGTGCTCAGCAGATGTTTGACCTCATTTACAGCATGGGTTGGAGCTTGGTCGTCCCTCAGGAGGTGGATGGTATCTGTCGTGGTGGTGGTTCTCGCAGATGGCTCCCAGAACAAGGTATGGCGGCTGACGGTCCCTGCATGGAGGCATCTCCTGGCAATATCTACCAAGACTTCCTCGGACTTCAGCCATGGCATGCCTAGTACCAAGTCATGGTGGAGGTCGTCTACGAGGCGACATCGGACTCTTGACGTGAACTTGTCGGTGAAGTGGATGTCCACGTCTACTGTACCCATACTGTGGAATGAATGGCCTTGCTTAGCCAGCTGCACTTCGGCGGGGTCGTTTTTCACCATATCCCGCTCAATTAGGCCTACACTGATAAAATTTGCTGTGACACCAGTGTCTATCGTGGCCATAATTCTGACGGAGTTGACCTCGGCGGAGATCTTGGGCGACGGTGAGGAATCGGCAACGTGGAGGGTGTTGAGCTGGGGCACCATTCTGGTTGGACTTAGTTGTTCTCGATGATGCCCCCGTCGGAGTTTCCCGGACGTGGTGGGCTTCTCGGTGGAGGCGTAGGTCGTCCTCCTTGGTTGGAATTGTTGTTGTGGTTTTGTTGGTTGTTGTGGTGGTTGTTTCCGCCTGGATGGCGGTGTTGATTGTTACTGCCGTTGCGGCTGAAGTTACCGCCTTGATTGCGGTGTTGGTTGAAACCATTTGGTTGGTTCCTGTTGAAATTGTTGTTATTAGTGTTTCCGCTTGGATTGCGGTGTTGGTTTCCCCTGTTCCTCTATTCCTGTAGGGTCTCTGATTGACGAGGCCTGTCGTGACGTGGTGGAGGTGGTGGAGGTTGACGTTCCAGTTGCTGAGGACGGCTTCCACTGCTTAATACTGCCAGGTAAGAGACTCTGGAGCAGCAGAATTATCCGCTCTATCCATGTTCCTGTGGGACCTTAAGTCGTATGTTCGGTCTGTGGCCATAGACACGGGCTATGCCACTGTTACTAGGAAGCAAAGGATTAAAATAAGAAAATAAAGGTTTATTATTATTAATTTAGTAATAATATATAAACAAACAACAATAAATGTCTTAAAAGTAAGAATCTGAAAGGTAAAGTACGTAATTGCCTTTAGGTCACTGATCTAGAGGACAATTACGCATTAATCTAATTCTAAGAATCTGCAAGAAACGTTATTATATTAAGAGACAATAAAAGTCAAATTCGCATGCACATGTGAAATTAATAAACATATAAAATTCCCAGCTGTCAAAATTAAAAGGACATTTCAAGTATTCGTAGAAAGCTGAAACCTGTGGGAACCTATGTGGTATAATGTAATTCGGGATAATCAACAATAAAATTCGACCCTCCCAACGAAAACTGTCGTAACTCAAGATCGCTCATTCCGAGATAATTGCGTTTAAAAATAATTGTTAAAAGTGACGTTCTGTAATTTTTTAATTATCACTACTACGTTTTTAATTTTTTCACTCAGTAACTATTTGTGCAATCATAATTATTGCAAAAGAAATAAAACTTTCATAAGGTTATTCGATTTTGGATTTTGAATGAGTTACTACAGTCTTCGTCGACAAAAATTTCAGTTATAAAAACATACTACAATATATTATATATATATATATATATATATATATATATATATATATATATATATATATATATATATATATATATATATATATATATATATATATATATACATCTTTATACCAAACCTGAACCATCTGAAAAACCATACAATCCTGAACCTCCTATATCTAGAGTATTTAGAGCTGCCTATTACAAGCTTATATTCATTAATTCTAGCGGGGATTTTAAAAATCTATATATACAAAAGAATATTTTAATATTTTCAAAGATATATAAAGGGGGATTTTACCTATAAATGGCACAATCCTGAACCCTTTGTTATTTCAGCCAATTCTGAACCCAAACATGCATGTATATGCACAAACCTGAGCCTAAGAGATGTTGCCAGTTTTAAGTAAAATAGGATTCCTTAGGAAAATGTTTGTATGTGTTTGCGTGAGAGTCAGAAGCAGTACATTTTTACTTTGCCCTAATTATACGTATCCTAAAATATGTAAACAATACGTTCTATCTACAGATTATTTTAACAGCGAAGGCGTCACATACGTTCCAGTTTATAAAAGTCAAAAATATGAGCTTTTATTAACGGCGATTTAGATTAAAAAAAAAGGAATACATCAGCAAAGTGTGGCTTTAATTTAATATCAAAAGTAGGTACAAATATAAGAATATTGTGATACAGATCAGATCAAAACTAAAACAAGAAAGTCTTTCAAAACAGTGAAAAAAAAATTAAAAATCAACTAAAAAATATTTGAAAATGGGTGTTTAGTATTTAAGTTTTTCTGTATACATATTATAAACTACAGCTTTAATACATGTCCATTTTCTTTCTTTAAATACCTCGGGATATTCTTCAATAAGGTGTTGCACTTCTACCTTAATGGGAGGCTTTCTTTTTTTAATGTTGTCGGAAAAGTATTCTGCGATAATGCTTTTTTCTTGTTTTGTCCATGGTCGTCGTCTATCAATAAATATTTTCTTTTTTAAATTGTCCAATTTTTTATGAGATTCTTTATTATTATCGACGTTAGCTGAAGTAGATGGAATCCCGCAATCTACGTTTAGATTATCATTAGTTTTTAAGATATTTTCCATTTCTTCCTCTTCCGCGTCAGTGAGAGGAGCTAAATTAATGTCAATTTCGTCTAATGTTTTGCCTTTATATTTTTCAGCTCCGCCTTCCATCATTAACAGTAAAAGTTTAGAAATCTTAGCCGTTTGATATACTTTGTCAGACAAACGATAATAATTGCAATGTGTTTGTAATGTGTGTCCCATGAATTTGCTTAATTGCTCCATATCATTATTGGAAAATTGAAGAAGTTGAGTAATGGTGGCCAAATGCTTTCGAAGTTTTGTTGCTGTTATACTCGCAGGTCTCTCCAACTGACATTTCTTGGCATATTTATGAATAATTTTAGTTCCATCAACAAATCCTCTTCCAGTGGTGTGAAATACAAAGTCACTTTCAATTGTAAAGTTATTTCTACAGTGCAAAATTAAATCAAAATGCATTTTCATTGATGGTGATAACAATATAGGAACACCTCTTCCACGCTTACCTCTTATAACTAAACGACTGTAAGTTTTTAATAAAATTTTTTCAGCTTCAGTTAAACATTTTTCAAATTCGTTATCATTTTCACCCCCTAAATTAATAGATTTAAACGTTTGGACCTTTAGCTGAGCCACCTCTGCTGGTCGCCGTCTGTTAAGAAGAATGACTTGCGCATACAGTGTGTCTTTTAATGAATTATAGGTCTTAAAATCATACTCATCTGATTTCAATTTGTGAAATAATTCTTCTGCAGATGTTTGCAAAAAAATATTAAGTTTCTTGAGGTCGTTAGTAAGCGGCAAAAGTTCTTCTTTATTCCATTTATTTTGATTTAAATTGGTACATGCTTGAGCAGAAACTTCATCACACCATTGGGATTCTAAAAGAGTTTTTAATATTTTAAGTTCTTTTCTCTCATCGCTTGTGTTTTCAATCTGAACAAGATTAATATATGCTAAGTCACAACATTTTTTCATAAGTGTCCCAAAATTTATGGCTAAAGTTGGTGACTCATAATTATCTGTTTCTGGGTTATATTTTGCTATTTTATTAACTCCAGAAATTATTAGTTGAAAATGCTTTGGGCGAAGAATATCTATAAGTTTCTTAATATCAGGATTCTGTCGTCTTGCAAAGTCTAAGAGTTTTGCGAGTCTTCGCATATTTTGTCTTACCAAATTAATATTGCCTTTACTTTGACGGCCTTTTATGTACGAATATGCGTACTGGCAAATTAAGGGATCTTTTTTAGCAATAAGATTTATGTCGTCTGCACGCATTCTGGAAAAAATTTTTGATTTTAATAAATCGTCATGTTTAAGAAACTGGTGTAGAAGCAATGTGGTTTGTCCGTCGCTTTGGGACGTTTGTCTTCTATTATTTTCCTCATCATAATTAGACGGACAAATTTTGGTATGCCTAAATAAAAATTTTTTCTTATAGTAACCCAAACAATACTTGCATGGCAGATACTGATCTGCACTTAACTACTTATCGGTAAGTTTTGGCCTCTTAACAGATCTTAATGCGGAGTCCGTCTGATTTCTGATAAAATTTCCCTTTTTCCTTAAGTTTGATACAGCCAATCGTCTCTCTTTTGAATTAACCTTATGACATAATATTTTTACTACGTCAATTTCTTCTGAGTGCCATTTAGAAATATGTCTAGCAAAATGGGATACATCCTTCTCGCAATAGAAGCAAAAATCCCTTCGATCTTTGTAATTTTTTCTTAACGTTTTTTCAACAAGTGCCTGGAAAAAAAATGTAAAATGAATCAAACACGTTAAAAAAACAGAAAAGATTTAATTAAAGTAACATTAAAAAAACATTGATTTTAACTTAAGACAAGACATCTTGTGACTCAGTTGTCTCGTCCTTTACGACTTGTCAGATAGCCTTTTTAATACATATAGCTGAGTTTGGTTTCTTTTTTTTTGACATAAAAAACCGGTCTGATGAGTCGTAAACGATGAAATAACCTTAACACAGCATGTTATGTCTAATTAATTAAAATCAATTCTGCTTCTTTCCTCACGTTATATGCTTTTTCACATATTGTTAGTTTAACAATTATTGGAGTTTAGGGGAATGTAAAGTATCAAATTGTTTTGGATGCCATATACTGCTTATATGGTAATTTAATTGAGTTCTTACCTTCTCTTCTAGAGAAAAAGATGATGTCCTTTGAGCTACAGAATTGCTTCTTTTGTGTTGCTCCTTTTCACTCTCCTTCTCCATTTGATGTTCACTTTTTTGTTTATTATCAAAATTTAAGAGTTTCCGTATTATTAGGGATTCGTCTTTTTCACGCTTCTCTCTTTCAATCGGTTCTTTAAATATTGAAGAAACAGCATTCCCATGCTCCGCTATATCAATCACTTTTTCAAGTATTAACGAATCGGTCTCACGCTGTTTGCTGTCAACCAATTCTTCACAGATTTTTGGATGACTCTTTCTTAGTGGCATTTTTAAATTTGATAACTGCAAGAAAGAGTAAGAGTTTAACCAAATTTGAGACAAATTAAACAAAAAAGGACCTACCCATTTTTTTTTAGCTCGGCCGTCTTCTCATGGTATATAATTAGGATCTTTTATGGAATCGTCGTCATCCTCTATAAATTCACTTTTGGATGTGTTAGACGAGTTATCCATTTTTTTTGTTCCTAGAAACACAGCATTATTATTGTCCGCATAGGAATCACATTCGTCAGATAAAAAATCCATATTTATTGCTTGATCACTTATAAACTTGTCTCCCTCGTGTTCTTCCATTTCTTGTTGTTCTTTTGCATTATTCATTTCTGTATTTTCTTTTTCATTTTGAGAATTAAACTTTGAATATGCATTTGGGTTCCACACCCAGAAGCCAATCTTCAATTATTTGTATTTTTGTAGGTGGTAATAGCCTATTTTCAGAAATATTCGAGCAAGCTGAATCAAGGCCAGGTAACTTTTCATCTAAAAATTTCACAATAATTTATGGCGAATAGAACACGCTTTTTTATTTACAATTAAACTGTTTTTTATTTTATTTTGCGTTGTTTTACTTTATACATACAGTATGCTATTTATATTTAGCTAAACAAACAATTTAAAAAATCCTAAGACATCGATTTTTGATTTTAATTTACATTTTACATAAAATAAATTCAAATAATATTAAGATTAACCTATCCCAGAATTTCACAAAATAATTTGTTTTCTAAAATGAATTTATTCCATACATTACACCATACTGTAATATCTATATTGTACAGGTTAAGTAAAAAGTAATGTGCCCAAATTGTATATGTAAATTTAAAAGATCTAAATAATAATATTTTACTCAAGAATATAGGGCCTAAGGGGCCTATAGGTCTCTTAGGCCCTTTGAGGCCTGTAAGAACAGAATCTGTTTTTGTTCATAAATTAGCCATTTTTCCAAATAGATGCTTGAAAATTCGGGTGATTATAACACAACCAACCCCTTACGAGTGAACCGTTAGAAGTCTCCTAGAAAACTTGTGCGGAAAGAGGAAAACATTAACAAAAGCCCAGCGGATACTCTACTACTACTCCACTGGATCGATCCCCATGTTATTAAATGTGTATGTTCTCGAGATATCCCCACTTTCATCGTATTGAATAGAAGAAATCAGCTTAAAATTTGTTGTCACTCAATAATTTACATCTAACTTATTTTGAAACCATTCATTTTTGAATAAAAAAGTTATATTTCAAGGACTTTCCAAATATTAACTGTTTTTGAGATATTTTACTAGTTGTAATTCAGCACATGGTTAATATTTTAAATGTCGAAGTGTAACATTTTTATACAAAAAGATTATGATTTCTCTGTAAATACAGGAAAAATATTAAGAAAATCATATTTTATTCTTCGAGCTTTATATATTATAAAAAACATTTCAGACCCATTATTATTAAGTATTTAAAATATTATTTAAACTTTACTTTCGTTAAACGCATGTCAGATTTTACATTACCCATACGTTGCTCTTTTTTGTCTTTCCTCTTTCCATTTATGTCTTTTAAACTTAAAACTTCGGAATCTTTATTTACGTGTATCTGCGAAATTGGAGATAAGCTGCTCTCCAAATTGTTTTTGCATTAATAAAAGTGTATTTTTTTATGTTTTTGTCTAAACATTATACCTACATTTAATCTTTAAACCCTTTTTCATTCTTTGCTTTTCTGGTTCATTTTATACAGGATGTTTCAAAACTATTTTTAAAAATTCCAGGGGTATCAATGATAGATGAAAAGTCCTCATAAACAGTCACCCTTTGCGCTATTGTTAACTAATAGAGACAAAGGTATTAAACTAACTAACCTGTAGTAGTGCTAATTTAGTCAAATTCGTCTGAGATACTGACAGTGATAAATTACTAATTTAAAAATATAAACAGGAAGACATCAACTTCCATTAGTTAAGAAGACTTTTCCTTCTAAAATAATTCCCTTAGAGGTTTATCGAAGTACCTTTACAACAACTTGCATAACAGTTAGCAAACAGAAGATGACATGATTTCTCTTACTTGGGATAGCCTGTATAAAATGAATTTAAACAGGAACTCAATATTTTGAGATATCGGAGACAACTGAAAACATTTCATAAGTCGTCTAAAATCATTTATATGTTTTTTTGTTAAAAAAAATTGCATTTTTTAAAATATGATTTAGAACAAATCCTAAAAACACGATATTATAATCATCGCCTATAATAATTTTTAATAAACTCTAGACTCATCATTTTGTAAATATGAATTAAAATCAAGAATATCTATTTTACTTGGACACCCTGTACCTCTGTTAATATAAATTTATATAAATAAGGACAATTCAGCTAGATTTTTAAGCCAACGTGCTAAAAATGACAATTTATTTTAATACCTTTTGTATAACTTACCTTTCCCTAAACACATATCAACCATCAGTTTACAACGTCCTTTATAATCATTCATTTTTAAACACACGTTCCGACTTTCCTGAACCAACACAAATGACTGTTGCAACTAAATAATAATATCTAAATATCTTATACCATACCACCTACTGAAAAGAAATCTGTCTGACCTTGGCTAAAAATAGAATTCCCTAATTCTCTAAACAAAATAACGACAAAGCAATGTTGCCACATAGTATGGATCAGGATGGTACTAATTGTGATAATGTATAACAAAATCATGTATATTCGAGAAATTGTTTCCAGCGCCAAAGTGGCAAATGGCTGAACCAAAAAATGTAATCCTGAACCACAATACAAACAGGTTTCTCTCGGATTCCAAATGACATATTGAAGTGAAAGTTAGGCAGTTTTGTCCGCTGATGGCACCACTAATTTAAAAAAATTATTTAATTTGTAAATTCCAAATTATATGTCAGTTATAAAGGGAACCCAATCCTGAACCAATATACAGGTTCAGGATCGTAAACGGGGTTCAGGTTTGTGCTTAAGTTTTACTATCGGAGGCTCAGAATTGTACTAAAAACAAATATATATATATATATATATATAATAAAACAAAAAAAAATTAACAAATATTTTATTTTTAGCAATTTGTTTATAATGGCATTATAACACTAATTATAATAATAATTAACGACTAATTGCTAAGTACAATACACTGCTATTGCTCAGATTCGGAACCAGTTTCTTGATCTGTAGAGCACTCTGGTGGAATGTCTTCATTAGCAGGCCGCAGGGAGTTATAAAACCCATGGTACATTGTTGGTATCAAATTGGCTTTACATAAACTTAATAGACCATTTAATTTTTTACTGTCAATTGGTAAAAGACCTTGATATAAACGTGGTAGTTTATATTCTTGGGGTTTACGTAATTTTGATGTTGTGATGTCGAGTCTTTTGTAATTTTCTGCAAAACTGTAGGTAAAATAAACTTTATAAGGATTCTTCGGATCGAAGTGAATTTCCCTAATTTTGCTTATCTTTACCACCTCCGCAGTGTTAGTTTTCTTCCAGTTCTGTTTCTGAACCATTGGTTTAAAACTAAAAAAGTCTTCTTGAGACATTTCCTTCACTCTATACTGTGGAGAAGTAACTTTTGCCATCTTTATGAGGCTAATCCACTGGTCAGGAGTATAAATATTCGAATGTCGTTTCTTTGCAACTTCTATAACAGCGTGCATGCTGTCATTTTCGTTCTGGGTATGACCAATCTCAAGAAAACGGTGTGTTATTTCCAGATCCAAAGTCACCGATGCATGAGCAAACATCGAAAAAATAAAACGATTGCGGTTTTGCCCTCCGCAATTGTCGGAGTATAACACGACTTTTCGAATGCCATCTCGTTTTGCACCTTTTAAAAAATGCCATAAACAGCTTGCAATTTCATTCGGCCCCCTTTTTGATATTTGTTCATGCCATACGTAGCAATATCCTTGATTATTGCCCAAGTCGTAAATAGTAAAATTATAAGTTGCAAGCTTACTCTTATAATAAAAGTTACTTACCTCTGACTTAGGTGTTACTAATACTTTCTGCAAATCGAAGCATATTGTTAAAAACGATTTATCACTTTTGGACAATTCCTTATTAGCATCTTTCAGATTTCTAACAGATTCTTTGTTTAAAACATGGCTATTGTAATTTTCTTCCATTGATTGAGTTCTTTTCTCTGTATCTGTATTGTTATACGCACTGCATACTGAACACTGATCTTTCTTAGGCTTGAAAAATGCAATGTTGAATTGTGAGTTTAAAGTATCCCTGTATTGTCTAACTAGCGACGACACCCCATTTTTTGAGTTTGGCATATTCCACGTACATTCGGTGCATTACAGATATGTTTAAGCCCTCTTCTAAGTACATGCGTTTTGAGTTTTTCCTTGTATAATGAGAAGGTACAAGTGGAAATAATTTTATGTGTTCTACAATATGATCTTTTACACTATCCGGGATCTTCTAGTATTATGTTTTCCTCTCTTATCTGCTTCTATGGTACCAGCTTCACTAATTTTTTTCAATGCAGTGCTAACGAAAGTTTCAGAAATCGCAAGTGTATTTAAGAACATTGTCTTGCAAATTTGTTTCTCGGTATTACCAATATTAAATTTATATTTGCGCGAAAAGTTTCTCCTAGAATTGTTTACAGTGATTTGCGTTTTACCTTGTTGTGTCACGCACCTTGCAAGAAAATCCCACTGCCTGGTATGATCTCCAAGTTTCCAAAATTCGTCAAAAATTACTTGTCTTGTTTCAAAATTTAATATGCTATTACATTTATATCTGCAAATATCCTTACAAGGAACCTTTATCTTCTTTGCAGGTATAAACTTATCCTTGCGGTTCTTATATTCCAGACCGCTATTAAATTCTCTTTTGACTTTTTTGTCAATCCATTTGTTCTCATTTCTAACTCGATTTCTTCCTATCTTAACCTTTTCTGATACTTTTCGCTTTCTTTTTGATGATGGTCTGTCTAATGACACATTACTTCTCTTGTT